TTCCTCTTCAGGGGGCGAAGTAGTGGTAAAAAATGCACATAAAAACCGCAAAATTGAAAATTTGTATGTGTGGACACAATGAACCTCCAAACTAAATTAGGTGAAGATTCCTCTTCAGGGGGCGAAGTAGTGGTAAAAAACTCCCATAAAAACCGCAAAATTGAAAGTTTGTATGTACCCCTGCATGGACCTAATGAACCTCCATACCAATTTTGATGAACATCCATTCACATCCTGCGAAGTAGTTACATGGACAGACAAGAGAATAGTACAATTATATTTATATAGATTTGCTAATTTATGGGTACGTTTTAAAATACCGTAGCTAAAACCAGACATCATAGAAACCTGTACAAGAAATGGGGCTCTTTCTATTTTCACTGAAACAGTTCTAAGTTTGGAGGACGTAATAACATATTCTGAAGCATATTAGTTTAGTTCAGTAGGATCACAAGTTCATATAATACGTGCTCTTACACGTGACAATACAATGACGTTACTTTCGGTTAAAATTTCTGCTATGAACACTCAAACAATACATGCCATCACTGAAATTCAAGGAAATGCTATTTGTTGTCAGGTTCGCCATTACTAGGTTTTAACATGAAGTAAGTATACTTGGTTTCTTAAACATGCCTGAAACGTAACATTTTAGAATAAAATCATTCAAGAATTTTGGTATTACACATACATACACAATACCTAAGAATATAAACATCAAAAAGATAGTACCTGAACGTGAACGACTCGTATGCACGGAGTTGAGATAATATATTTAGCCTTTGGGTATCAGAGGTAATGGAGAAGAGGGGGGGGGGTAAATGAAAACAAGATACTTATTCGTAGTCCAACAGAAATTTGATCCAATTGGGCAATCATTTCACAAAAGTGTACTTGTATTATTCTCACTTCTTTTTCCTATAAGGTGACTAGTCTGCAATATTTTCTTTTGATGTCTTTATGTAAATATATTTAAGGATATAGGCATATTTGTCACGTCTGAAATACATGAATTATTCAACATGGAACAGCGAGAGGCTATAAGTAAACACAAAATCTTAACACTTTAAAAGTTGATATTATTTGAGCAGACTAAACTCTAATCGATTAATTAGTCACACTAAATGTTCATACTAAACTAGTTTACAATTAATTTTGTATAATTCTAAAGGTGGAATGCATTTTGTGTTAAATACTTCCGGTCGAAATATAAGCGTTTTAAAACTGTTGGAGACATGTCAATTTAAAAGTACAAAGATTTTCGTGTCTGTTCTTTTAAAGTTAGAAGGGTTTCCCCTTAATAACATTTATTGTAATGTGTTGAATGATATTACTTAGTCAGCCAGTAACCTTATAATTACATTAATGTACTTATGAAAACATATTATGTTAATATAGTACTTATTAGTAGTAAGTTGACAAACAACGACTTATAAACATAATGAATCAAACTGAAGAAGAATGACCAATGTTCTATCGAAACATTTATGTTCCTCAAAATGAAACCACTTCATTACGCTTACAAATCATTGTTTGTCAATTTTCTATTTCGTTAATTTTGTTTAAGCATTTGAATAAAGTAAATAATTTTAAACTAAAAACATATTTAAGATTTTCCTTATTTTTTTTAAATTGAAAAAAACATAAACCTTGGTGCTGGAGAGCTTACAAATGGAACGGACGAGCTTAATTCCTGTTCTGTTTCAAATGATGTTATTGACACAGCCTCAGTTTCCGGAATGTCTTGAGAAGATGTGCAAGGGATGTGAGAAGTATCTGCGATGGACACCTGGCGATTGTTTACTAAACTATATGATGATCTGTCAGGTTGTTGTTCTGGTAATATTGCTTTAGGCACAAGCACCACATGGAGTTTAGCTCTGTCTGGTAAAGCAGCTGTGTCCACATCCACAAAATCATCCCATTCTGCATCAAAAGTTTGAAGCTGAAGGTCTTTTTCTGGTGAATTAATACCAAAGACTTCTCTGATCGCAGCTACCACCTGCCGCTTCGAAGAAACATTAATCACTTTTTTCCTTCCCTGGAATGTGACGTGGTAGCTGAAGCCCGCACGACAATTTGACATTGTTTAATTAACCTGAAACGAATAATTTTCATTAATAAGTAATAAACAACATTCAAATAAAAAATACTAATAAAGTCCTGATACTGTTAAGCTGTGCAGATTTGGAGTAAATGTGAAAGAAGGCATTATAAATTTTAATCATGTAAATATTTTTAAAAATTTGAAAGAGAGAATTTAAAAAAAATCAAAGTAAATTTTATATTGGAAAATATGTTGGTGAGTGTAATAATATCAGCAACAACATACTTATATAGAGATGCGTTTTTAGGCACTGGCACACAGGGCCCGTGCCCCAATTCTATTTGACAGGGCCACGAATCCCCAGTTGGTGTCTTGATTATTTGTTTGTTTTTGAATTTCGCGCAAAGCTACACGAGGGCTATCTGCGCTAGCCGTCCCTAATTTAGCAGTGTAAGACTAGATGGAAAGCAAGTAATCATCACCACCCACCGCCAACTCTTGTGCTACTCTTTTACCAACGAATAGTTATATTGACCGTCACATTATAACGCCCCCACGGCTGAAAGGGCGAGCATGTTTGGTGTCACAGGGATTCGAACCCCCGACCCTCAGATTGCGAGTCGAGCGCCCTAACCACCTGGCCATGCCGGGCCTGGTATCTTGAAAAAGTAAATAGATAACCATGATCGATATCATATTGAAACGTTGAAAATTCCCGCGTCTATAAGCCCGAGCCCCGAACCATTTAAGAACCTAGTAACGCTTCTGCTTACATAAATATTAATTTTATTCTTCAGTCTGTAACGTAATGTACAAATAACAAACAACTAAAGCTATACATCATAATTAATTTACAAAACAAAATGGCTAAAACTGCAGTAAGGAAACAAAGAATTGCCAACGATTCGACCACCACATAATTATTCCACCCTTACAGCAATTTCAACCCTTTCTTAATGTTTTGAAGTTTTAACATGTTCTATTCGCCCGTCTTGAAGTAAAACTTTTCATGAATTCCCAGAATTATCACTGTTGTGAAGATAAAATTTTACTTTCTATACATTTTGGTAACATTTCACTTCTTAAACAAATAGCACATTCGTAACATACTATCAAAACAAGTATTATTTAGTGGTATTGTACGAAGAAAGTGTTTTTAATAACTTTGAAAATCTAGTAATAAAAGAGGAAATATTTATTTAAATAATATAGAAAATGTACGTAATTACTTTGAAACGTCACGTGGCTTCCACAAGGTATGATTATTCAAAAGTATATTTATACTTAATTTAACCCATAGAGGGCGATATTATCGTAATGTCTTCTTCGAGTACTAATAATGATTGGAGAGGCTTAAATTCTTCTTAAGAGTACATAAATTAATTAAGAACATTTTGATAAAAACATTTTGGTAGTAAAAATCATTATTTTATTTCACTTCATACATTTATTATATTAAGATATTAGTTTTGAAAGCAACATATCTTGTATTTGCATCAGTGATAAAGAAATTTTAAATATGAGGAGTGCTATATGATGAAACAATTCTAAAATGGGAATTAATAAGATATAATTATAACAGAAAAATATATAAGACGACGACTAGTCAATTCATCGAAACATTTAGCTTTTTTTCACAAAATTGTTTAATTTTTAATACACGTATGAAATCAGAAATCTAAAACCTTCATGCTTATTGCCTATAACTAGGCTTATTGTAACTATGTAAGAAAGATCTTAGAGAATATTTTAAGTATTTGCGTAAATACGATTAAGCCCAATAAGGAAACTTCTCACGATATACCGTATTTTTCGGATAATAAGACGCACCCTTATTTTGAATACAAAGT